ATACCATATTTAATTATATATATTTAAAATTGGTTAAGATTTAAAATTATGATTCTTCTATCATCTTTATTTGATTTGTTTTTAACTGTTTTGTCTCATCATAGTATACATAAAGTTAAGAAATTTTAAAAAGGGACATATAGTACCTAATTAATAAAAAATGTGTATTCAACATCCCACATCGGCTAAAATATTAGACAATGATAATAAGTCATATTATAAATAAGATTAAAATGAATCCAACTCCGAATGAGCAGAAAGCTTAACCTAACAAGCATTCAAATTTAAAAGTATGTATATGGACATACGGTTTATTTCGGTTTTTCAGTATAACTGTTTAATTTTACAGGAAATATTAAATTTTAAAAAACATTAAACTCTTAAATATTATAATTGATATTTTTAAAATCAGCAAAAAAGTTTATAATATTATGTACATTGAAAAAATAACACAGGACGAGTTATATTGCGGAACGGGTTATATGGCGGGAAGGGTTATATAGAAGGACGGGTTTAAATCAATAATGATAAAAACTTAAAATATCATTAATCCGATGCAATACGGGTTATATTCTTATTTTATTATTTTTTAAAACACCAAAATTAGATATATCGATGTATATGATAGTATAAAATAAAAATTATGACCTGATATACCATTACTTAATAACAATTGTAAACTATAAAATATAAATGTTTTATAAAATGATACAATTTACAAATTTTATATATAATACATAACCATAAAATTTTAAAAATCACTACGTTTAAAAAATATGTTGTCCCGCGCGTATTATAATAATAAGTGATGGTTGGTCATCTTACGTCTTGAGGATTGAATTATGAATAAAATGCAATAATTTAGCATGAAAGATATAAATTGCAACGTGATAGATTATTATAAAATGGAACGCTATTGTCTTTTATCATTTCCAGATCGTCATAAGAACATGTGATTGCTAAATCGAATCGTAATAATTCAAATATATCAGTTATAATAACAAATGATGTTTTGTCTTCGCATCCTGTCTCTTGGGACATGAAACAAGGGAGGTGGCATCGGTAAACTTCTTTAAATTAGTGGATTCTTCAAAAATTATTAATAAATTAACAATTATTTAAGTTTAAATTCATAATTTAATCAAGTGTACAAATATTAAAAAAAGATATTTCTTATAGGTTATTGTACTAAAAAAAACATTAAGTCACATATTTTTGCAATATTTTACCCTTCACCTCTAAAAATGCAGAATAAGCCTGTGAAATTAAAAATAATACGCAACATAGCCCTTATACATATATATGTCTCTCTACGGTTATGTGTATTACTATGTTTATCTAACATTCATGTCTTTTAAACACTATTTAATTTTTTTCCTATTTTTACATAACTAGTTCTAATGAGTTATAGTTTCAAAATAAATCTCATAAAAACATTGGAATATCAAGTCTCTTTATCATATCTTTTTTTTTGCATTAAAAACTATTTTTAATGTATTTTTGTTATAAAAAAAAAACTTAAGATTAAATATGCTATATTTTGTAGTATATAATTCATGTTGACCAAAAAAATGTAGTGTATAATTACTAAAAATATTAAATATATACTAAAATAACAATCTGAATATATACCTCCGAGGATTATATCTTGTTATCATCTTTCTTTGAATATATTTTACATCTATAATCATTTAAAAATATTTTAAAAAGATTACTTCTAATCATGATGACTATTTGTTGGGTACTTTTTTCGCTTAGGTTCGAGTCGCTTTAGCATAATCTTTTTAGTTATATTCATGTTATTTACATCGTAATGTTTTTGTTTAGATGATTGGTTATTTTACTATTTTTTGTCCATCTAACACTCATGTAATTTTACTCTATTTATTTATATATTTTGTTACATAAGTGTTGGTTTTCTTTTGTTATTTTCATGAATTTTAGGTTTACAATGAATAAAAATAATTTAATTTTAAGAACCAACATTATTTTCTGCTTAAATTATTTCTTAATATACATTATTTTAAATTAAAACAATTGTATAATTCTTTGTACAACTCACGATTTTTAGTATTTTAAAAACATTTATCTAGAAGACGCATCTCTTTATTTCTTTTTCTTTTTTTATAATTTTTTGCATTTCTAGGAAAATAATTTTAATGTATGTGTGTTCTATAATAGTTGAGATACTAAGTTTACATAAATAATATCATGTAGGAAAAACCTAAAACTCTGTACTAATCTATCTATCTAGTTGAAATATTATATTAATGTATATCATATAATTACTAAATATATAAAATACTGGCATAAAATTTAATAAAAAGAATTCGAATATACACGATATTTTCCTTTGCGACAACGCGTAGTGCTTGAATCATAGTTTTTTTTTTTTGTAGTCATCGATACTAAACTTTTCCGTGCTCTCATACATTGTAAAGTAATAATGTAAATATTGCTTGTTAAACTTTTTTTTTTTTGTTAAAGTATCGCTTGTTAAACTTGTATAACTCTTGAGTACAATTGTGTGATATTTATACACTGTTAATCCTAATTAGAAAAAAGAAATTCACACCAACAAAGGAAATATAGAAAAAGGTAAAATAGATCCAACATCATCTTGAATCCTTTTATTTTAGCATTCATCTTAACTTTTTAGTGACCATAATTTCCAGAATCCAAACAACTTTGGTGGACCCTTCATATTTTTCTCAGATTGTCACATGTTTATAGAGACGCAAAAATCTCTAACTCCAATCAAAATACTCAAAACTTTAGGTTTCTCTTTAATTTCTTCTTTGACATATCCACACAACCTAGGAACCAATAATTTTTGTTTTTTTTTTTAAGACCTAGGAACCAATAATGCTCCACTACACAAACTCATGCTCACTAACAGACTCAGGCTCATGTTAGTAAAAAAAGTCTATCTTGGCGCGTTATAAACAAAGGAAATTTTTAGTGAACATATATATGACTCTGCATTGCCTCACAAGGGATTCAAATCACAATAAAAATATTTGTTGTTGCTGATAAGTCGAAATGTTCTATTTTTTTATAAGACAACCTTTGATTAGCCTAATCTATAGTATATAATTAGAGAGTTCTCTCTCCATTTAGAATGTCCACCTAAGCATCTACCTAAATAGGACTATTTATTTTTCATTAAAATCTATATATATATATATATATATAATTAGAGAGTTCTCTCTCCATTTAGGATATCCACCTACGCATCTACCTATATAAGACTATTTATTTTACATTAAAACAAATTTAAAATGTTCATTTAGTGCATATTTATGTTACCTATAATTAATAAAAATTTTAATTAAAATAAAAAACGAATAAAGTTAAATAAATGAGATGATCAAATAATAAAAATAATACTATGAAAATGTTTATTAATAGTAATAATATATTTCAACTTTTAACAGATACAAATTAAAAATGATCATACTTCAAATTTTTAAATGTGTTAACAAGTTTTAGAATGAAACTAAATTTTAAATGTATGGTAGAATAAAACTAAATTTATGTAATTATAATGTAAAGTTTAAAACAAGAAAACAAAATTGAAAGTGAAACATTAGTTTCTAAGAACAATATACTACATATTTTTATTTATTACTAAATTTTTACTAAATTTGTAATTTAAGACGATTATATTGTAACAGTCACACTTTATCTTGTGAAATTATAAAAAAAAAAAAACCTTGAAAACTTTAAAACATTATCATCCATTTTTTATTAAATAAACAAATCATGATCACATTATTAATGAGTTCCACAACAAAATATACAAAAATTAATATGTAAGCCGTTAAAAAAAAAAGTGATATATAATTTGTGTATCATATTCTCAAGTGGAACTACAATTTTTTAACATGATAAAAAAAATAAAAACAAGTTTGATATTTCATCAATTGAATCAAATGCTTTTAATCCAAAGATTTGAGTATTGAAAGATAGTAATTAAGAAAAAAATAGTTATGATATGTCTTGAAAATCAATGCACAATATTTATTATATGTAAGTCAATAGAAGGTGAAAAAAGAAATAGATGTCGAAAGGCAACGAGTGCATCATAGAAGATTACGAAAATTTGATTGTTAAAAGTGTTTGAAAATAAATTTCTAAAACTTAGAAAGATAATGCATATGACTAAGGTAAAATCTTTGAGATATCATTCATTATGTGAAATGAATGAGTTCTTAGAAAAAAAATATGACATACATTAATTATTAAACAGATTATTAGATTCAAAGTTGGGTTTAACCGTTTGGCCATGTAATCATTGAAAGTGAAATAAGATACGTACATTAATGACTTAGTCGAGAATTCTCTTATGATACGTTGCACTTGCTTCGATGGGTGAAACAAGCTCCCTAAAGACGTTATAACAATATGGTACTTTTACACAAAATAATATTCCTGAAACTTGGTATATTCGTATTTTATATAGAATGATGTTATGTTCGTATCAATATTTAATCATAAATAGTATATACATTTCTATCAACAATCGATAACTAACGTTAAATCTCTTTAAGAAATGTTTTCATGAAATATCAATAAGAAATAAACTCTTTTAGAGATAAAAGATCATGGGATGCTCATCAATACAGTTTATTCTTCCCGCGAAATTTTTTAGTGATCTTTGTTACCTTGTAATATATATCAAATCATTTATTTAACAAAGAAACATTATCGTCAACGATATATATATTGTATATCGCTTCGTAAAATAAGTTTAATGTTTATATAGATTTATCTTTAAAATTTGAATTATTATATTTATGTTCAAATATTTATCTTTTAAGTTTTATATTTTATGCTCAAAATATCATATTAATAAAAGAGACTTTAAATTAAAATTCTGCACAACGCGCGAGTACATATCTAGTATAAGTAACGTTGGAGTTTCTATTTTTGAATATTTTATCGATATATTCATCGCAAAAGTACTTGTAATAGTATTATTATTTAATAAAGCATACTATGAAATTAGGTTTATTTATTATTTTAGTATTGCCCCCATTGAAAATACTTCCCCGAATTCATCACTAGTGACATATATATATATATGATTAAACAAGAAACTAGAGTGACTGGGAAATCTTGATAGGCAGTCCTTTGGGGAAGTGAGGTAGTGGTGCACGGATGAAATCGAATTCTTGGGCCAGTGAGAAATCATATTTGGTTACAAGATGATGAATGAAGATAGAAATTTGGAGTCTCGCAAACTCCGTGCCGACACATTGCCTCACTCCTCCTCCAAATACCATGAACGTCTTAGATCCAGACCGCAACTCTTTCCCCTGTCCATATATGTTCATTAATTTGAGTTATAATAGTCATGTTTTTGTTTACAAAAACAAGAGTAAGTAAAAGTTTATACCTCCCATCTCCATGGATTGAACTCCAAAGGATTCTCATAAATCTCATGATTGAAATGGACGGCTGGAGGTATAACCGCCACAATCCAGCCCGCTGGAATTGTGTATCCTGTTGTACCAAATAATTCTCCATCAATCTCAACAACTTTTTTTTGTTTTGGTCAACAATCTTGACTTTAAAGTATAATATAGAATAGATTTTTGACTTTGAGTGATACTTGCCTTTGATTTCGACATCGTTCACAGCCTTCCTATACATTATAGGAGCCATGTTTGCCATTCGAAGAGTCTCATTGATCACCTGCATGAGTCATAATATATAAAACATTGACGCCTTACTTATAAAGTTACTTTAATGTAATATTTTCATTTTCATTTAAGTTATAATAGAAAAATAAGTTTAAATATAGAATTAAAAATTGAAATAATGTATGTGTTAACAAATTTGACTGATTTAAACACTTAAAAAATTTAGGAAGAGAGAGAAGAAAAAAAATACTAAAATAATTTAGATAATTTTATATTATTCAAATTGGGGATATTTAGATAATAGTGTATGTTTTATGATAAAATGTTTAAAATAGTTATTATTATTATTATTATTATTATTATTATTATTATTATTAATACATATATATATATATATATATATATATTATTTTTAAAGTACATTTTTAGCGGATGGGCAAAATGCATTTGGATACAATGAATATCTGACCCGTTTACAAATTTTGCTCATAAAAAATTTGTTTGGGTTGGGTTATATTTAACCCAACTCATACACCGGATATTCTTTTTTTTTTGTCAACAGAAAATTTTTTTTTAATAATTTAGATATTCTATATTTAATAATTTAGATATTTAGAAGATTTCATTAAGATTTAGAATTATGATTCAATCATCTTTGTTTGATTTGGTTTTAACTGTTTTGAATCATCATATAATACATAATAGTAAAAAAATCAATTTTTTCTGTATATATTGTGATTCAAAATTTTAAAAACGGACATATATTATCTAATTGACGAAAAAATGTGTGTTTAACGTTCCACATCGACTAAAATATTTAGAAAATGATTAAGAATCATATCATAAATAAGATCAATATTAATACAATAAATGAGTTTTTTGGCGGAACGGATTTGGCGAGACAGGTTTTTGAATCAACAATAATAAAAAATTAAAATATCATTAATCCGCCGCTTTAATACGGATTAAATCCTTAATTGTTTTTAATACCACCAACACTAGAAATATCAAATCAGTCTCATTTAGAAAACATTGTATAAAACCAAAAATTACTTAATAACAATTGTAAACTATAAATTATAAATGTCTTAGAGAATGATAATATTTGCAAACGTTTTTATATAATAAATAATCGTTAAATTTTTAAAATTACTACTTTTAGAAAACAAATCACGGGACGAGTTAAAAAATTACAGAACGGGTTATATTTCGGAAAATGTTTATATAGTGGACGAGTTTGAGTTAATATTTATAAAATTTTAAAATATCATTAAAATGCTGCTTTAATACATATTAGTTTATTAAAATATAACTATCCTAGAGAATGATATAATTTGTAAATTTTTATATATAATAAATAATTATTAAATTTTAAAATCATTATTTTTAGAAAACAAATCACGGGAGGGTTAAAAAACTACGGGAAAAGTTTGAATCAATATTTATAAAATTTTAAAATATCATTAACATGCCGCTTTAATACGGATTATATCCTCAGTTTATTTGGTGGTATACTGTTACTTAATAACAATTGTAAACTATAAAATTAAATATTTTATAAGGAGATACAATTTACAAAAATTTATATACTAACTTTAAAAAATAAATCTAGTATATATATATATATATATATATATAACAAAACTTTTTTTTGTCAAAGGTTTTTTTTAACCAGGTTGTCCGGGCCCCACCACTGGTGGTCCCGACTAGCACCGTATTGGGCATTGCCCTCAACCCTCAAGTGTGGTCCTGGTGGCCTTACATACCGAGTTCACGATATCCCATCGCTAAGGGTGTGGCAGTGGCCAAATAGGGTAAAATCCAGAAGTGTCGCGCTTGCAGGGAGTCGATCTCTGGCCTGGACCAACAGAATCGCTCATCTGCAAGTGGAAAGCACTGGACCACCACCACTTGGTTTATATATAACAAAACTTACCATGTTAGTGAAAGTCATGTGGTGTCTGTATTCTTCCCAGCCAACTCCAGCTTCTTTATCATTTCTATTTTGAAGGATGGCCTCATGCTCTCTCTGCCAAATTTTAAATAAACATATCAGCCCCTATCCATATGCTTCTTTTTGTTCTTCTTCGTCATATCAATGACTTTTTTGGGGCTTTCTGGATTATACATATATATATATATATGCACACATATATATATATATATATGCACATATATATATATATATTATTTTATTTTATATTTGTATTTTTACCTTCAACTCTGCGAGAGCTTTATGGTTTTCGGCAAGAAATTTGATGGCCAAGCTAGTAACGGAAGAGGTTGATTCTTTAGCGACTACCAGAATAGCGAAGATGAGATTTATAGCACCTTCTTCATTAAAAATGACCTCTTCTTTCTCCCCCTCTTCTACCATTGTGTCGAGGAAGTCTCCGCACATTTCTCTGGACGCTTTCCTCCTCATAAAAACGTCCTTTATCACCTGCAGTGCGTCTCTTCGGGCCTAGATGGAAGCCATTGAGATAACATTATCATATTAAGCATATAATAAATCTAAATAATAGAAATCCTTAATTAAGAAACTAAAGAACTTACAATAAAGACTTTGAAGATAGAAATCCATGTCGTAAGCTTTAACGGTGACTGAAACCATTCAGATCCTAGGGACATTATATTGTCCACAAGATTTGTTTGTGTTTCTGGTTTGAGGTTACTTATTATCTTCGGGGTCAGGTGTGCCATTATCAACTGCACATAAACGTTAAAGATTGTTAGTACTGAGAAGTATCAATTAATAAAACTGTACAGAAAAAAAAAAAAAAAAAAAAAAAAAAAAAAAAAAAAAAAACTAAAAATTATGCAAGTACGCTTTCAACTGTCTCCTTAGCATTGAAGCTACCCTGGCTAGCCTTTGATTTAAGATGCTCATAGGTCACTCTGTCTATTTCTCCAATCAGCTTTTTTTTTAAGGCCTCAGAGCCAATATGTTGAAGACTGACTTGTTTGACGTGCTTGTGGATGTTCCCATGTTTGAGGAACACGTTTTCTTTTCCAAATGGCTTTACAAAGGCTTCTGGATAGCTAAACACAAAAGACTTGTTCTCTTGTCGGAAAACCTCAAAGATGATATCAGGTTCTGTCAAAACCACGGTGTTGGATCCGAAAATGTTGGTCCGAAACAATGGCCCGTACCTGAAAATATTGACTTTATTATACAAGCTGGTATCCTTTCGTTATATAAAAAATATATAAAGAAAAAGATTGTTATCTGACTTTAACATCCTCTTCTTGACAAAGGGTGAGATCTCGTATAATCCATGGGGCTCAAAGAAGTTGCATGTCTCTCCGATGATCGGTAAACCCATTGATCCCGGAGGTAACTTGCCATTGCACTTCGGGTTCGACCACCGGTATAACCATTTGCTAATCACAACAACTGCTACAGTTATGACCCACACCGCAGCGGACCAGACGAAGCTCATTTGGTTTTGCCTTTGAAGTTTGAAGAGCCACCACTTCGGATCTTTGTTAATCTTCAATCGAGGTGGGAATCCTACAGTCAATATAACAAACAAAAAGTATACAACGACTGCTTAACCTACCTTTGGATTAATTGTCTCGTGACATTTTTCATTAGACTATAGTATTCGGCAAAAGTTCAATTTGAAATAGTTTTATGAAGAAGGTTGTAACCACCGTTTTCGGGACCATTAGCTAACACACAAAAATTATATATATAAATATATATATTATAGTTATATTCTTTGCAAACGTATTCTCAAGATATAGGGTTTGAATGTTAACTTCATACGGCTTTTGTTTGGGGTATATCACTTTGACAGTTATCAATCACAAAAGAAATATCAAAAGTTTTACTAAAACAACTATTTTTAATTTTTTTGTACATCTTTCATGTACCACTGTTTTGTATTGTTTTGCATTATTCCGTAAAAAATTATCGTTTCAGCTTACAACTATTGTACAGCTTTGTGTTACCAATGAGAGCTATATATTTACACATTTACAACTAAATCATAACCCGTGCTGGAACAGCACAGATGAAATTTTAATTTTTAAATATTTATATAAAGTTGGATTATTGTTTGTTTTATAGTACAATTTTAATAATTCTTTACATAATACAATGACATATAAGGATTTTTTATTTTATTTTGTTTGATGAGAAAATATTAGGGGTGGGGTACGATTTTTTGGTTTAGCGTATGTAATTCGGTTTAGTTACAGTTCGATTTTTACGGTTTTTTACGTTTTTTGGTTAAAAATAAAATGTATGTATTTGATATATGCTAGTAGTAAGTGAAAAAAAATTATGTATAAAATAAGATTAAATTCAACCCGTGCATACCTATATTTTTATTTTAGAATCCCAATAAAAAATTGTGTGCACAATCCATCATTCATTATTTTCATATATACTTATAGAATCAAAATTTTAAATATTTAGAGGTGTCAAACCTTATTTAACTCATCTCATCATATAATCTTAACATGGTTTCGGTTATAAAGATCATAACTCTTTTTATCATATAATACATTACATTTAACCTGCTACTTGCTATAAATCTTTTAAATATTTATGATTTGAAAAATGAAATTATAATATTTATAAGTTTTATCTTTCGATTTATTAAATATTTATGATATTCTTTAAAATATTATATTAAACTATTTTTAAATTTTTCCAAATTAAAATATTTTTTTATTTTTTATAGTAGAATATAAAATTAAGAATTTTTTAAAAATAATTTTATGAACTTAAATATAAATATTCAAATAGTTATAAGGATCATAACTCATTTCATCATATAATACATTATATTTAACCCACCGTCTATTATAAATATTTTTTAAATATATATGTTTTAAGAAAACCAAATTAGTGTATGTATAATTTTTTAATTTTTTTATTTATTAAGTATTGATGATATTTTTTTTTAAATATTAAGTAAGACTATTTTTAAATATTCCAAATTAAAATATTTAAAATTTTATCGTAGTATATAAAATTAAATATTTTTTAAAAATATATGAAATTGAATATAATTACTTAAATTCTGACCCGTTATTCAGGCGAAATTTTTGTTGAATTTATTTTTGTTTAAAAGAAATATATTATCCAAGTCTAAATTTTTGACTCGTTAAATTTTTTTTTTCATAAATTGAATAATTTATATTCATTTTTAAAAATTCAAATTATGGCATATGCGGAAAAAATCCATTTTTTATTGTTATATGGATGATATGATGATTTATTTGTTTCACAATAATAGAATCATATAAAGATGAGAGGTGAAATATAATGATTAATAACAAATTAATAAGGTAAGTTAGATATCAAATCTTATATATTCATTTTGATTGGTCTATGAAAATAATAATAATAATGTATTTTTCGATTTTATAATTAAATTAAATTAATTAAATTGTATAAATTGACTTGTTTATCCTTAATAAGTTGAATTAATTTACTCTTTGAAATTTTATCTCTAATGGCATTCTTAAGTAAATTTTTACAAAAAGAAAGGTTAGTTAAAGGTATCCTATAAAGTATACTCCCCAAATAATAGTATAGGATACATGATTATTTTATTTTAAATTATAGCACTACAACACACTAAATTGAATATTAGAAAAATTGGGTATGTATACATACATAATTTTTCTTTTTTTAAATAATTCATTCAATAAAAGGAAATACACGGCTTAAGAAGCCCAAAACGCCCAGCAAAGAGAAACAACATTTAAATTTTCTAAATAAATATGAGAGAATTTAAAACATAGCAAAGCAAATTTAAATTCATGTAAATTCAGATGGATTAAAGCGTCAGGCTCAGGCCTAGGGAATCTCTAAACCCAACAAGTGAACTACTCAGACATGATCATCAAAGCAATAAAAATGTTTTGAATAGAAAGCATAAAGAAAATCAGAGAAGAGAATAGAGATTAGAAGGATCTTCTCCTCTCTATAGGGTTTTGAATTCTGAAACAAAGCTCTCTCCATTTATCTTTTAAAGGGTTCAAACTCTTAAAGAATTCAAAGTAAAAATCAAAACAATACTTAATAAAAGCTTGATAGGTCTAAACAATGACCCTTAAATCTATTTATTTGTTCTCAAAAACGTGCAGGGACTAATAATATAAATAGGGAAGTTTCTTTAGGCAATTATGTAGTCTTCAAATCTTTCAACCGTCAAGACTACTTGGTGGGCCGCGAACGGTGTCGATCGACACTGATGCCACGGTCTGATTCCAAATTTGTCTCTTCAGCTTTTATTTCCGGTTTTGCTCCAAAATGCTCTCTTATCTCCAAATATATCCGGTCACGAAAATACCTGAAAAGACTCCAAAACCAATACATATATCATTGTTAAATACCGTGTAACCCATGATATATCAGACCACCATATTTCCTAAAACCGACGTATTATAATTATTTTAGTGTTTAAAGTGTTAATATTGGTTAAATACATATATATATATATATTTTTAATTATAGAGTGAAACTTACTTTTTATTATAACCTAAATAATATGTGACCAAGATTTCACTAATTAACTTAATAACTACTACATTAGTGTTTATACATTACGACTCATGCATGTGATCAATGAAAATCTTCGAATGGCAAACATAGTTCTATAATGTACAGAAAGGGCGTGAACGGTATCGAAATCAAAGGCATGTATCATTCCTGTTCATGATGTTCGGAGATAGAGTTTGCGAGGCTTTAGATTTCAATCTTCACTCATTATTTATAACAAATACGATTTCTCATTGGCCCAAGAATTATAGTTCATACTCTTCCCAAGGGACTGGCTATCAAGGTTATCTATCCAATTTTTCAACAAACTTGTTCAGTCATATATGTAATTAGGCTTAAATCCACGAAGTAAATATAAATGTTAAATATAAATCAAATATCATATTATATCATGTAACTTTAATGTTACAAAACTTTTCAATTATTACCTATAATGTCAAAATAAATTTGGGAGAATCAATCTATTTTTGTTCTCCAAAAATGTTTGGTGACCATATTATGTTGAGGATAAATTTATTTTAATTTTCTGATGTAGTTTGAATTGTCAATTTGTTTCTTCAATTTATGGATCGTTGTGCGCTTATCGTCAAAATTGTTTTTTGCTAAGCACGTTACTATTATTTTTTCCAACAAATTTGACTGATTCAGGAAAACTAATGCTGCGAAATATTGTTTACATTGGTGATAATATACGGTTGGATACAAACATTTCATGCCAAGTTATCTGCTTTTACATTCGTACTTCGAAGAACTAACGATAAACAAAAATAATCAAACTCATATTTGTTGTTCTAAAATACCTCCAAGTATGTAGAGAAAGCTGGCTAAACTGTCAGGAAAGACACTATATTCACCATATCATAGCAATGTGTAAAGAAGACTACTTCACACTTGTTTAGGCCAATCGTACATCTCACTACCCATACAAAGACTTCCACTTCTGTATGTAGAAATGTGAGACTTCATCGAAGGTTGACAGCGTCCTTGTTGGACTGTTATCATTTAATATTATGCAAAACTATCCCATTCCGAAAAATTTATCACTCTCATTCAAGAACTATCAATGAAAAAATAATTTTGGTTAACACCTAACGTTTTTTTTAATATTAATTTTGTTTAGTCAAATATCGATTAACATTATTGTTTCAAATGTCATTAAAATAGAAAATTTGTTGGTTGGTCTTTGCATCTTGAGTCAATAATGATTAAACAGAAATTAATATTAAAAGCAGTGGATAGGTCAGTATTAGATCAACATTTAGTCAATATCGAATAAAAATCTGAAAATATCTGATCATATTATATTAGCATAAGATCAATCATTTCACGTCATAAATTATAAAATGGAACATGAATTTTTTTCCTAGTTTTCATATCGTAATAAGATCATATTACGATCTTATGATTTGATTTCAATGTTAATTTTTCCATTATGAAATTCAACGCTTTCTTTTATTAACACCTTGCTGTCACGACACGTATTATTAAGACGGTTAGTGATTGGTGAAGCCCGTGACATAACACCTTTTTAATATTAATTTTGTTTAATCAATATCGATTTTATATACAATTAACATTAATGAGTCAAATGTCCTCAAACAGAAAATTGAAAAAAGAATGACCGTCTAATAAGTGGTTTGACTAGATCAACAATATTATATTAGCATTATTCTTTTCAATTAGAACACTAAATCAAGAATATGCTATTAACAACCTAAAAATATTTTTTTTTTTTTTACTAATATTATATTAGTAACTTAGTATAATAAGATCAATCATATCACGTGACAGATTATAAAATGGTTTTTTTTTCTCCCTTTTTTTAACCTCTGCAACTTCCATGAGACTGTAAACACATAATACAAAAGGTCTACCAACCATGCAACGTGGTTTTTTTTATAGTCTGATACGATACGATACGATACGATATGATTGTCAGATCGTAATAACTGATTGCATCTTGACTCTTTGGGATTGAATTAAAATGCAATCATTTCACGTAATAGACTATGAAATGCTACTTGACAGATTATTAAAATGCAATCATTTCATACACAGTTCCGTTCTAGACAAACAGGCTATACACCTGTCTAAAACAATCAATTTATTTTGAAATTTTGAGGAC